TCATCATTAGTAGTAATAATACTATTATCATTATTATAATATCCGTATTATCACTCAACGAACTTTGTCGTTTTTTGTAATATTCAGCAATATTGCCTCAATAAAAATGTAACTAATGTGTGCGATGACCACGATGTATGCACATTTATAAATGAACTACTAACTGAGTCTCATTTAGGAGTTAACGCACCCTGCTCGAGTTAGTGAGGTTATTGTAGGGTAAGGCATATTTATGTTAGATTGAATATACGTATTATTGATATCATAACCGATTATAAATATCGAAATGCATTTCTGTGATGAGATGAATTTGTGTGAGAGATGGTAGGTCGAATCCGGGATATCGTTTTATTTGATATTTCGTATCAATGTTATTGTGAAGTTTGATGCATAATGTTTAGGTAACCAGCGTTATCAAACGGAACTCTACGTTTATTGCTACATAGGGACCTATTTTCCAGGATTTTTAGTACATATATTTAAATGCATTCAAGTACTGTTTCGTCTTGAAGGTGGTAAAAAAACAGTTTGCAAAAGTGCAAATTAACCTAGAAATATCATCATCTCTCTCTCTCTATCCATTCACACACACAAATAAAAATACATGCATAATTCATTCTTAGTCTGCATTGAATTTATATCTCATGTACCTTCGTCTGAAACTAGGACATGTCATATCACTGTCATTGTCATCGCCGTGCATACTGTCGATTCATTTTCCTTAATATGTCATCATCCTTATCAGTATATTGCCATGGTATCATATTGTAGGCCTAGTTTGTTGGTCTGTAATGAGGAGCCCGACTTAAACCCCGCCTCGTGAAGCGAGTTGAAGCCTCTCGAGAGCAAGAAAAGCTCACGGACATAAATAAAGGTTCCGTGCACTCCCATGAACAATTTGATATAGATCCCGGGGCCTTAAGAACGGTAGCGGGCATTGACCCACGATCCCTCGCAGACGTGCTCTGAGCGGAGAAATATTAAAAAGACCTCCTGGCTCAGCCTATCATTTAAAATGCGATACATCAAAGAAATTAAAGATACTGACAGCTTTAGCCCCAAAATATGAAACAAGAATACATACATCCTAAAATTATAGGATACTGATGTCTGAATATGGAAATAATTAAATGTACTCATTTGTCATCGGTATAGCAAAGGCAGTTAATTAGAACTGTTTTTATTTTCAATAAATATGACTAGATCTGGAGGAAGTGCCTCGGGCGGAGCGAGAGTGGGCGGCGCGGCGGTGGGCGTTGAGGTGCCACCGCGTGGGGAACCGCTCGCCGCAGCACAGCACAGGCTCCTGAAGCTGCCTGTGGTGTCGCCGGCGGTGCGTGTGGATGCTCGTCTCCAGGATCTCCTTCCCGCAGTCCTCGCACGTGATGTAGGCCCTGGATCCCTCGGCTGGGGGTCGAGGGGCGCTGACCGGCGTCCGCTGTCCTGCGGCAGGAGTTGCAGGGTGGGGACGCAGGATGGCAGGGAAGTGCGGAAGGAGGTGCTGCAGGCCGTGGAGCGCCGCCGGGTGGGGAGAGGGGACCAGGCCCCGAGCGAGCATGTAGGGCAGGAGGGAAAGGCAGGGCGGGACGGGGGTCGGGCGTCGAAGGGCTGAGGGGCTGTGCATTGGCGGGAGAGTGTCGCCCGATCACTCTCTAAATGTTCCGTTGGCGTGTTGGGGCGCCGTGGTTGCGGAGAACCTCTGGGGGCGGCGAGGGCGTCGCACGAGGGAATTCTGGAAGGCTCGCCTGACTTTCGGGCGAAGACGGGGGCGTGAAGTCCACCTGGCGCTTCTTGAGAGGCAGCGGGACTTCGGAGTTGGAGGAAGGCAAGGCGATGTTGTAGCGCCAAGCGATGTCCGAGAGCTCCTCCTCAGCCTCCTCCAGGACCTCGCCCTGCAGGCGTCGCAGCAACCTGGCCATCTGCTTGGGCGTCACGTCAGGCATCAGCAGCACAGGCGAAGCGCAGCCGTCCAGAGCGCCCGCCAGGCAGGGCGAGGCGCTGACCAGCAGGCCGCGAGGGACCCTGACCACGTCGCCGGAGCTGCCCACCAGACACACCGAGGCCAGCTCTCTCTCGAGGCTCTTCGCGAAGGAGACATGGCTGGGAATTTTCGATAAGATAAGAAAGCGGACACTGATAGTGGCGAAAGTGCACTGACAGCATTTATGCGTTGCGGAGGAACAGCGAGAGGTCTCTCGGCGAGGGAACTCGGCTGAGCAGGCAGTCACAGGGAGCCACCCTGTTCGTGTGCCAATTAACCAGTAGTTAGCGCTGAAGACACAAGTCCGGTATGTAGAGCATTAAAATGTATCCCCCCCAAAAAAAAAAAATTATATATATATTATATAATATTATATATATATATGTATTATAATATTTGTATATATATATATATATATATATATATATATATATATATATATATATATATATATATATGTCATGCCTATCCTGCAGACTTTATAATCAGCTTCATAATACGGGCCCCTTACCCCCTACG